ATATATACCTTGCTATTGGAACAAAATTACTTCGCACTGCAGTTTCGGTTTATTCTGGAATTTTCTTTTAAATAATCATGATTTAAAATGTATAAAAACAATATTTTAATGATATATATTTTATACACAAAACAAGATATTTATTTTCAAAATCAATATTCACTGTTTATCATAAAAGTAATGCTAGGAATATATTTCAGGTATAATTGAAATAGTTTTTTGAGTAATGCAATTTTAATCTTACTTTAGTTAATACCATAATTTCAAGTGAAAATATATCGGCCATTTGAATGCGCCATGTGGAAATATAGCCTATCCCAAAGAGATTTTAGGTAATTGTAAACTATTCAGAGACCTATATAATTAGAAATAAAAAGAAAAGCTTGTAGTACTGGTATTTCCAGTTCGTTAATCTCTAGTGGACCGTTTGGAACCAAGATCTGGTTCTGTTGCTGTAATACTTATATATTTGTAACTTTGCCTGCATTTTATATGTAGGCCTACGTTCATTATCCGTTGACATTTTGATACTGCTAGTCAAGTCTGATTTTCTTTTTTCGATTTTAAGGTGTTACGTGTTGATATATCCGCTCAGAGTTCGCACTGTCATCACTTTAAAAAAAAAGCTATTAGTTACATCAAGTATCTGGGTGATTTCAATCTTGTGTTCAATTCATGTATTTTTTAAGGTAAGTAGCTCATTGAGTAATTGCCAGTGTTTTTGTAAACAGTAGTTGATAAGTTGAATAAATAACTGATGAGTAAACAATAGGCCGCACGTACGACAATATTAATTAACTACACAATGATTCTAAATCTAAATCTATGTAGATACTCATCAACGCCTGTTCAGCATCTGGATGTGGGCAGGGGATTGAGATGAACCATTACACCCGGGTAACCCCCTACTCGTCTGAAAAGATGTTCTTTATAGTGCTCATGAGCCATTGTGTACACTGGGCATACAGTCTATAGTCCTTATCCGAGAAGGCTTGCTCCACCTCCAGAGCCATAGGCGAGCGTGCCGTTCGAGCCAGCACCTGGCTGCTGTAGTATTACGTTAATATTTGATTGTTGTGTGTAAGAAAGAATGCACATCATTCAGATTTTAACTTATTCATTGGCGTATTTAGGAGTATTGACACGGGGTTTGTTGTGGGAAGGAAGGTTAAGTAGGGGGAGCGATGATAAAAGTGAAAAGGTAAGGGAGATTAGCTGGCAAATGAGATGATTTCTAACTACTTGAGCACATTTTTTGAGCGCAATTTTTTTTTCTCTGTGAAATGGTGTGGGGGCGTCAACCCCTAAGCGATCCCCGATCCCCAACCACCCACCACCACCACCACCGCGTTGAAATGCCATAGAACGTTTTGCTAATAATACGTTTTAGAGCTATGTTGGTGATTCTTTATATGTCTACATCAGTCTCTAAAATTGCTTTCTCTCTGTAGAATCAGTTGTGGCAATTAAGTAAAAAAGACTGGCTAATAAGTAGTGTAAATGACGAGTTTGACGAGTGGCAACCACCAACACAATATATCATTCCGGTAGTCATCGTAGTAGTATCTTGTATTATTGCATCTGTAACCCTTATTAAAAGAATAGGCCTACATAGCAATCGTTTACAAGAGTCCAGCCAAAGTAACGTGTCCAGAAATAATTCTCTTAGAGTTCCAAAAAGGGTAAGCTAGTAATCTGTTTTATTTGAATCAAATGCATTTACAATTTCTTGTTTTAAAAATGCTATATAATAATAATAATAATAATAATAATAATAATAATAATAATAATAATAATAATAATAATAATAATAATAATAATATTAATAAAGTTATATAGTTAAAATATAATTTTAATAAAGTGAAAAGAAATGAAGGTGGGGGAAAAAACGGAAACCAAGTTCACTGCGACGTTATTTGTGAGACTTGAACTATGGCTGCAATGGTAATAGCGAGGTACATCGTGACACATAACCACTGCGCGCTATATGCGCCGACCTTGTATAGGAAAGTGCATTTTCAGTTCATAGTGATTCAATGACTGAAAGCAAAATTGTTCATGCATATCACGGTAGTTTTGAGTTTAACCTAGCTGTAACTGGTTTAAGCGCTTTAGAAAACGCAAATTGCGTTTAAATAATTTAATCAACTGTCAACAAAAAGTTTTTAAATGGTGATCATACCCACATCCTACTGCAGATCGGCACCAAAATTGGATCATTTCTTCATTACACCATGAAAAACTATTCTGCAAAGTGTCATTTTTATCCATCTATAACTGAGAAGTAAGCAATTTAAATGACCCTCATATTTACACCCTAACCTGGATCGTACCCTACACATAATAATATCTTCCTTGTAACTTTCCTGAAAGTTTTATTCGGATCAGGTGACCTTTTTTAAATATCTAGTTTGGGACGTTTTCCTTTAAATGTTCCACATATTCACACCCTGCGCCAGATCATCACAAATATTCAGTCATTTCTTTACTGGACCTTTACAAACTATTATAGAAAGTTACATTTACACCCATTGAACACTTTTTATAGATATTTACGTCTGGGATCTCAAAAATTTAAATGACCCTCCAATGTACACCCTTGACTGATTTGTTGCCAACACATAATCTTCCTTGTAACTTAGTTAAACTTTTCATCTAGATCAGTTGATCCGTTTTCGAAATATGTGGTCTGGGATTTCATTACTCGACCATGACAAACTGTTAAACAATGTTTAAATTATACCCATTGTTTTTTTTTTTTTTTTTTTTTGAGAGAGAGAGATATTTAGGTCTGGGTCCTCAAAAATTGAAATGACGTTCCCACTTAAACTCTTGACTGATTCGTCGCCAGCACATAATAATTTCTTCCTAGTAACTTGATTGAATTTTTCCGAATGTTTCATTCAGATCAGTTGATCAGTTTTCAAAATATATGGTCTAGGACGTTTTCCTTTAATGGTCTTGAGATCCACACCATACTGGGGATCGTCACTAAAATTTAATCATTTTTACAAGACATTTACAAAGTATTATAGAATTTTTCATTGAAGAGACCCTCAAATTTACACCCTTCACTGGATCGTCACTAACACATAAAAAATTTCTTCCTTGAAACTTGATTAAACTTTCCCGTAAGTTTCATTCACATCAACTGACAGGTTTTTGAAATAGCAAATGTAGACTTTTGACCTTAAATCAATTTAATTGGTCCTCACACGCACACCCCACGATAGATTGACACAAAATATTAGGAGGAACATCCTTGATATATGGCCTATGCTTCAGCAAAGCATGGGAAAATTCTAAGCATGGGAAGTGACCAAAGTGACGGCCAGAAAAAAGCAATGCAAAAAGATTAGAAAAATGTATGCAAGAAAAAAGAAAACAAAATCAGAACAAAAACAATGGCTTTTCCCTACTGCTGGGAAAATCCAATAATAATAATAATAATAATAATAATAATAATAATAATAATAATAATAATAATTATAATAATAATAATAATAATAATAATAATAATAATAATAATAATAATAATAATAATGATAATAATAATAATAGTACTAAAAAATTATAAAGTAAAAAAAAAACAATGAAAATGAATTTTACAACTTTTTTCATAGTGATTCAGTGACTGAAAGCAAACAAATCTATCTATCTATATTCTTTGATTAAACTATGACAAACTATTTCTCAGCAAAGTTTCATTTAATCATTTTTTCTCCTTGGACCATGGCAAAACATTCTAGGAAGTTTCATTTAGATCCATTGATAAATTTTTGAGATATTTAGGTCTGATGTGTTTCCCTTTATGGGTGAAATTTGTTATCATTATTAGTTTTATTATTGTTAACAAACTATAGCACAACTCATGATAGGTAATCAAATACATGATCGTTAAACTAATAATAAGTTTAGCTTTTCTAATATTACACCATCAAACACTCTTTATGGTTTTAAAATGAATATACATAAACAAAAAACCACAACCACTTATTGTTGGCACTAATTATTTTCTTCATTCTATTTTTTCAGGCTCTTGTAACAGTGACCATCGTGGCTGTTGTCTTTCTGTGCATGACGTCACCGAATGCAATATGTCGTTACATGGTGATTTCGAAAGGATACATGATAACTAATTTTATCAACTGGCAGAACATGTGGTTCATAACTAATATACTTAGAATATCTAATAGCTGCGTTAATCCATTCATTTATACACTAATGTCCAGAAGTTTTCGATCGGCCATCAAATCAGCATTCTGCTGTAAAACAGATTCGACAATCAGGCAAAATCATATTTTTAATTCTAGAAGACATTTGCAAAACAGAGTTTAAAATTAATGATAAATGTCTGAACAAAAATTCGTACAGCATCTTCGATGCGCTGACCACCAGCATCCATTATTCTTACGCACACAAGCTGCATCCATTCGCATCGGTTCCGAACTGAAAATCGAGCATTGTTTCCGATGCGCTGAACGAAACGAAGTAACGCTCCGAAACGATAAGTTCGTTCACACTTGTTCCGATCTGTTATTTTTTTTAATATGAATGTAACGATGCGATGTCATTGTCCTTTCAACAATGGCGTCTTGGTCAAATGGCTTGTCGGACAATGTAGACGGACTTCTGCTAACAGTAGCTCTCAGTTAAAAAAAAAACAAAAAACAAACAAACAAACAAAACAAATCAAAAAAAAAAACAAACACATAAAAAAAAACCAAACAAACAAAAGGAAATTGGTATTAATACAGAAAGGGTATGAGCAGCTCACCACCTTAATAATGAAGGGATTGTCTTCAAATGAAGATGAATTTTACGATAAATTCCGAATGTTACATAACTTCGTAAATTTGTATATCCAGAAGAACACTCATTTTCGAGATCTCCTCGCTTTATTTTTGGTTTAAAATGGATACGTATATCTGAAATAGACGTCCCTTAATTTCACAGTGTAAATTGTGGACATCATGATGTCAAATACATAAGTGCATTAATGTTAATCACGTCAGAAATCTAAAAGCATTAAGCCGAATCTAAACACGTTTTAAATGTCGCCAAAGACTGAACAAAATTGCGCGGAGATTTAAGTTTATATCCACTTTGTTTTTACAGTGTAGAGGCAATTAAAAAATTGCTTAGAAATATGCTTAATGAAAAAGATAATATTGTTTACCATCCTAGTAAACCTTACATTTATAATATTATTTTAATTAAAAAAATGTTCTATAAATATGTAGGCCTGTGATATGCTTGTTTCCTCTAAAATGGTTATACACAGTTTGTAAACTACATGGGAAAATATTTTCAACATAGAATATAACAAATTGGTCAGTAATCTTCAAAATTCCTTTGAAGGGTACAATGGATACTAAGTAGAGATGGTTCCAGTTTAGGATAGTACATAGTAGATTTTTAGGGGCAACATGCTTTTGTATAATATTGGTAAAAAGGAGTCTGGGTTATGTAAAGTTGATAATGGTAAAATGAGTTATTTATTTTGTATACAATTAAGAATAATATTCTTAATAATGAGATTTTTTATTTGCTATTAATTGACAGCCAATGGAATACGCTTAACTTCATGCTTTTACTGCCGATTCCATGTACAAAATGAAGATAAATGAACAAACTCTGTCTGGTTTTATGGTTAAAAATGAAATTTAAAAATATATATTTGTTTAAGCTTATTTATGTTATAGGTCTCAGGTGGCAAGCCCATCAGTCAGGCGAGTTATTCTTAAATGATGAGATTTTTTGTTTGGTATTATTTGATAGCCAATGGAATAGGATTAACTTGTTTCTTTTACTTTGCAGTTTTCATAAATAAAATGAAGATAAATAAACAACTCCGTATGTTTTCATGGTTAAAAATGAAATTTAAAAATATTTTTGTTTAGAAAAGTATACTTATGCTATAGGCGCCTCACGTGGCAAGCCAATCAATCGGGCGAGTGTGCACGCTGGCCGGACCGCTTCCAGTCCACCGGCCAGAATTTGACTCATCCTCTACTCTGGTCCGCGGTCGGTCCTCTCGAGTTTCGAATTGGCTCTGTCGGCTGTTGCAGCCGGAAAATATATAAATAAAATTCTAAAATCTGCAACTTATTTTTTGATCAGCACCAATGTGAATGAATGTGTGAAAATTAAGTAAATCGGTTTTGAAGTTTTTGAGTTATGCGCCCGGAAGGACACACGCCACACACAGACAGGCAAGCAGACAGACAGCCCACAGACTCACGCTAAAACAATACCCTTCACCTCCTTCGGAGAGGCGAAGGCAAAATTTGAATGAGAGAATATTATTTCTTTTTTCAATTAACATCCGTACAAATTTATTAAGCACTAAAAAATGCACATTTTAAATAATTTCTTCTGCTGCATAATATATATTATTTTTCAGAAATCTTTAGATATATAGATTATATATGTATCAGAATAATAGTAATAATTTCATTTTTACTGTTAATGTTTGTATATTATTTTCAGAAATCTTTAGATTTATATAGATTATATGTATACGAATAATAGTAATAATTTCATTTTTACTGTTAATGTTTGTATATTATTTTCAGAAATCTTTAGGTGTATAGATAATATATGTATAAGAATAATAGTAATAATTTCAATTTAACTTTTAATGTTTGTATAGGTTTTTCTGCAACACTTAAGACCTGTTTATACAACGATAACCATAACGACAAAAAGCTAAAAAGCAATTGTTCATATAGAAGTAAAAGAAATGGGAGGAGTTTTTACACTAGGACGATTCGATAACGATTTATCGTGTATACGACAACAAAATATTTCAACAAATCAAATCAGATGACGTCATAATCATGGAAAAACGATAAAATCATTGCTACTACTATGATTTTAACGTTTTGCATTATTATGACGTCATCTGATTTGATTTGTCAAAAATATTTTGTTATCGTATAACCGATGACTCGCTATCGAATCGTCCTAGTGTAAAAACTTCTCTTATTTCAGCTGCAACATTATGGGGACCGTTGTTCGTGCTTGATCCAGTGACCGGTGTTAATAATTAAAGCGCATAGAGGTTAGTCTAAAATATGCTCTATATAAGTCGACAATTAAAAATTGCCCTTTACCTTTTTATCGTTATCGTTGCTAGTATAAACAGGCCTTTAATATACGATAATTATAATTATTATGATTTACTATGTTGAGTCTTCAATGTATAGCCTAACTGTTTGTATTGTAAAGTGAATGTAATTTAAAGTGTTTACGCGAGGCCATGATGAAAATCAGCATGTACAATATTTTGATTGTTTTGTGAATAATGCTTTTAGCTGGTGATCAACGGACCTTTCCGGGGTGTCAGTCAAACGAAACAACTGACCAATCAGAACAGTGCCAGAAAATTTTGAACGTAGGCCTAACCACAAACGCACATGTTTTCGTAATATCCCTTATATAATATAACTTATATATTATATAACTTTCTGTGGACATAACAACAATATCCAAGAAGCAGGGCTTAGCGGAAAAAGCCATTTAACTGCACCTCCGTCGATTAAATAACGTTTTACAAATTCTAATATAATGTAATAATAAAATTAAAAGTCAAAGTGAAATCTGTGTCTTATTAAATATTGATAACTTAGTTGTTTTTACTTATTATGTGTATATTCACCGGCTTATCTCGAATTTGCCAATCTCTTAGGCCTGTTTTCCACTAGACGAATTTATTTCCGCAAATCGAAAGCGTCGGTTCATGCGCATGCGCATTCACATTTTTATAGGAGTGATTCGCTTCAGCAAAACGATAATGTTAGTGGGAATGTTAAAATATTAAATAGAAAAACAATTTTTTGTCTGGCTACTATGAAATGTTAATAACAGCATACAGTAATTGTAAATTCATTTTAAAACATGTAGTGTATGATTTTTTTTAATTTCCCTTTAGAGAAATCTAAAGACCACATTTATTGAACAGCATGAGTCCCAAGTCTCCGGCAGTGTCTCGGAATGGAGTCTCTCCTTCCCGCACTTCCTCGAGCAAGAAGTCCCGAAATAAACAATCTCCCACAAGTTCATAATGATATTTGCATGATTTTACAAGTTTTTACTACTGTATTATCCATTGTTTCCTAGAAGTTAATGCAATCATTAATGGTTATCACCATGTACAGCAAAGTATATTCAGATGTCTTAAGAAAACTCATTTAAACAGATTCTTCCATCTTCGGGCCCCTGTTGAGTGCGGGTATTTTGTTGAAAAACGATATTATTTCATTTATTTTATTATCCATGAATGGTGATCGAACAAGTCTGTTGTAATTAAGTCGTTGAAACAAAAAATTATGACAACAAGGCATGTAGACTGTAGAACATTTCATTTATTTTCGAAAGAAATTTTCGGCCAGTCCTCTGGCCTTCATCAGCTATACTGAATGTACAAGTTGGCTGTTACAAGTTCTATACTGTACAATATAAACAATCTAGATGTGTATAAGAGA